TTTCACAGAAGTAGTTTCGAAATAGCAACTTTTTGTTGAGCTTTTTGAAGGTATGTTTCTGTAACTTCGTTATCAACTTGTTTTTCTAATTTGCTTGATCCACATTTGCAGAAAGATTTCAGTCTTACTTTCTTCCTGCAGCTTGTGATGGCTGTTGCCTCAGTGTGTTCTGAGAGCTGGGAAAATAATGCTCCCATTTCCTCTAACATGTTTCAAATGGAGCAATGTTCTAGACAGACGACTCCTTGTTTTTTGCCACCTCCTTGCAGAGCTGTGTCTGGGAGGATTTTTGTGTGGTTTTGCTTGTGATGCTCCCATGCAGTTGTTAGAATACAGCCTGACTGGCTGTAAAGGACAACAGTGGAATTTTACTGCCGCTGAGCTCGGATGTGCACACCCGTGCCAGCACAGTTAGCTTTGCTTTTTGGACACTGTAAAATGGAAATTTTCTTTTCTTATGAACAAATGGATTTAGACCCAAGCTCCCTACTTTACCCATCTGTTGGAGATGGTAAAGCTTTCTAAAATTTACTTTTAGTCTTTGTTGCCTGTAAGCTTTACGGAGCTTTTCCGTGGTGGTTAGCTCGATTGAGGCGAATAATGAGTATTGCTGTGATGGACTTCTGGCTCTCATCAGGACCTGCTCCTGTGCTTCCTTCTCCCGTGCTGTGAGCTCAGGAGGATCTAGTGGATCCGTGCAGTAGAACTCAGTAGGCAGTGCTGGAAGTGACTATATGAGTCAGGTTACGAGAAGACCAGGTTGTCCACTGAAAGAAACTGGCACTTGGATCTTTCCAAACTCACAGTAGTCTTTCAGTCCATGAAGTTGACGCCTGCCTGCCTTTCTTCTCTTTGTGACTTACAATTCCTGTTTTGGGCAGCCGTTTTTTTCTTGGGGTTGCCAGTGTTCCACCACATACAAATACCCACTTAGAGACTCAAGTGGCCACCTGCCTGGCATCCTGGAGCCAGACTGCCCTTTCTATCTCTCGTGCATGAAGCTGTTAGCTCTCCTAGTTCCTCGTGCTGTTGCTTTCCGAGATGACTAATCAGTTGCTAAACCAGTCACACAACGAGCATTTCTCCTCTGGAAGCTGTTTGCTGATGTGCCATAACACAGTGTCTTTCTGCAAGCTGCATGGCTGGGACGTGGAGCCTGGTGCACGTGTGTGTGTGTCGCTGTGCTGCGTGATCTGGCAGTAAATGTCTTAAAGCTGCTCTGTCAAAATCAGATTTAAACACACAAAATCAGTATAAACACACTGAGAAGCTTGGTCCGTGTCACAGTTTTAGATGGCAGTCTGGTTTAACTCACACTTAGGTGGAACTTGTTGGTTTCGGTTGTGCTTTTGGTCTCAGATTTTGGGATTGATGAGTCAAAAAAATATTACACCAGGTAAGTTTGCTTGCAACTTTGGGGAGTAAAAGCTCAGAGTTCCTCAGCCACCTTGTCCATGCCTGTGCATGTGATCTCAAATACAAACGCAGAAGTACTGGAGATCTTAATTTGTCATAGATAGCATCTTGGTGATTATATCTCGTTCTGAAAAGAATGGCTTTATCTAGAAAATCTTGGGTTTTTTTAATTTTTTTTTTTCTGGAAATGCTACCATATTTGGTGGTCTCTGCTTTCTGGTAACATCTGTTTGAGTCTGGTTACTTATTTTTCACCTGTCTTTGATCTCTTTAGCAGGTGGTGCAATCTCAGAATTGTTATGAAGACACTCCTCTTTATCTTCCTGTATTCTTTCCTATATTGGCACCGTAACGTGGAAAATAGATGAAATGCTCAGTCAGAGTGGACTGACTAATACAGCAGACTGATTGTTCATGGATTCAGGGAGTGACTTTTGTAAGAAATGAATATGGAAGAGGAAAGAGCCTTCATTCCTCCTTAACTGCCTCTTCATCGAACAGTGTAAGATGCTGACTCTCAGGTCGTGCCATTTGCAAAGAGACTAATTGGACTGCCTTTGTGGTGACATCCATAACTGTTTCTAAAGTGAGCTGGTACCCACCACTCTGCCACTCCAGAGCTTACCAGCCATTGTCTTTCAAATATTTTTCATTTGTTCCTGGATTGAAGAATACCCAAAGTGTGTATTTTTATTCCTGATGCCGTGTGACTGCGTATCCTGCAAACTTCCCGTTCTTTGCTGTTAATTTTCATTTCAGTGAGTTGTAAGTCCTTCTATGCCAGCTGCATTACCTTACCAGCTTTTCTGTTAGCTCAGTGTGATGTCTTCTGTGCTGACATGCTTAGTGAAACACTGCTGCTGATTGTGTTCCAGATGTGATTTCATCTTAGGTGGATAGAGATCTAATGTGAAGAATCAAGACACCCTCTGAAGTCTGCAAAGAATGAGTCTTCATATTGTGAATATTTTAGACATGAAGGATGACTGCTTGTGGGAGAAGGAACAAGTGAAAGTAGCTCTAGATAAAATACTCAGTTTATATGCTTTCTTCTAGCTTGTGATACGAAAAGCTGCGTTGGCAGTTTCTTTCTGTCCTTGCAAGTGTTTTTATTCTGCCTCTTTCCTGTGAGGTGTCCTACCAGAAACAATTGGTTTCCTCCTTAGCTGGTAGGTACTGGCAGTTAGGGAAAAAACAGAACCAATATTTTTCTGAACCGAATTAGTAGTTTTTCAGGTTTATTTTCCCACTTCTGGATCAAGAATGGAAGAAAGATGAATGCTAACAGCTCATTCCCAGCCATGCTTTAACCTTTTATTCCTTAAAGGTGATTGTGATGTTTTCCTTGTGGGAATGGGAAGAGACACTTTCTCTGTCCAATACCTACAGCCTGACACCTCTCTGTACTATACCAACAGCCTGTTAAAAGAAAGTTTTCATTCCTAATGCTCCTTGTTTTATAGACTTTTATAGTTCCTATGCAATTACTTTCAGTTTTTCTCTAGGTATAATTATTGAGATTACATATTTAAATTTTCAAAGTATCTTGCAGACATTAAAAACCAAAAAGAGGAGTCATAAAGAGATTTATTAATTTGCAGTCAGAAGTACGCAGTAGTTGCATGAGAAGGGAGGAGACATTTTAAATCAGTTTTTTTAAAACTGGTGTTTTCATTTCGGGCTTTGGTACAGTGGCTTGCTTCATTTAGTGAAATTCATTCCTGTGCATACAGTATTAGTTTTCCTTGTTCTTTCTGCTTGTAGGATGACTTGCATCTTTCCTGGAACGCTGTTATGTCAAATCCACCCGTATGTGGTGTGGCTGACCCCACAAGCTTTAAAAAAATGCACAAATGATGGTTCTCTAGATTGTTTTAAAGCGTATGATTTATCACAGACTCCAGCCTTCATTTCTGTTAAAACTTCCCTGTACAGTGTATATGTCCTTGGTTGATTTTCTTCCATCTCTTATTTTTTGGTACCTGTAGTTTTGTACAATATTTGTCAGATACTGGCTTGATGGTAGTATATAGCAGTGATGTTAGTTTTTGTGTTTGTAAATAAAGAGGTATGTTTTATTTCCTAAAGTCAGTGGGTAAGTCTTGGCTTTTCCATACAATCGTGATTGTTTATATTGTGACAACGTTTAGGAATCCTCCAGTACAGCTCCAGTGCAAACACAAACGTTTTGTGTCTTCACCACAGCTGGTGTGGTGTTGTTTGGGTTGGTTTTTTCAGTGTGGCATTTGGTCGATGATCTGATTTCAAGAGGCAGGAGTAAATCTGTAGTCCAGTAAAAGCCCTGTGTACCTGCGTGGAGACGGGTGGAAGGGGAGCTGAGCACAAAGTGTGCTGGGTGTCGAGCGCACCTCCAGGGAATCGGAAAGTGAAAAATAGGTATCCTAGATCTTAGAAGTCTTAGTTTTAGGAAGAGAAACATGGCTATTCATTTCCAGAGCCATTGAAGAACGTGGCAATCCAAATCCTTTCTGTAATCCATAATTCAGTTGTTGGTAAGGAGATCCTGATTATTGAACTGCCTTCAATTACTCCATCAAAAATAAGGAACGTTGCTTTTTTTCTCCATTAAGAACTTTCTTAGTAGCGTATTATACTTCTGAGATGCTTGAGCACTCGGTGGGTTACACTGGGATGTCTCTTCAAGCATTTTGCTGCAGTGGCAGCATACGGTTTTACAGATGTGTCAGTTGAACGTGGGGATTTTGGCTCAGGCCTCTGTTTGGAGTCAGAGGCTGTGTGTGACGCAGAGCGCGGCGCTCAGGATTGCAGCTCCTGGGTGATGCCGGATGGATGGTGCCGTTCAGTCCCTTCCAAGTCTGACGGTGGATGTCAAGAGCCCAACGTGATGCTTTTATGCTGAGTCCTCATCTCAGAAGACTCGCTTTGGCTTCAGACTTAGGGGATTCTGAGCCTGGCAACCGGACTGTGACATCGGCACAGCTCCCCTGGGAACCCCTTGGATGTCAGTGCCATCAGACTGTTTAGAGGTTGGAATTGTGGTTTTGTAATCTTGGTAGTTTGAGGAATGCTTTTGCAATATGCCTGTATAAGGCAGGATTGAGCAGGTGCTGCATAAGGAATTAGGATTTCCCTATGCCCAACAGCATCATTTTAAGTTCCAGCAATCATTATTTACATTGCTTTATAGTTTTGTGGGAAAATTAAGCTGGAACAGTATTTCTTTACAGTGGAAATTCATCTGAAATAGTATGTAAAATCTTACAGAGAAGGGAGGACTTAATCTTTATTAAATTGTCAAATAGATCCCATTTGCTGGAATATACTGGATTAAAACATTCTGTTGCCTTGTTACAAGAACTGGAATTCACAATTCACGTTCTGACCCACGTAGTCATGTGTTGCATCTTCTGTAGCAGTGTTGTACTTCAAGCCTGTCTTGTTGGAGATTTTTCCTAATGGGAGGATTAGGTCTTGAAGATGACGCTGGTGGGATTTCAGAGATACTAAGTCTGAAGATTTTATGAAGAATGATTTTGTGGGGTTTTTTGACTACTGAATTTGCGTGGCTTTACAAAGTAGCATGTCTGATTGATAACCCCGATATGAGGAGCCTGGGGAGCAGCCACATCCTTGGGATGTTACTTTGTGCTTTCTATCTACCATTGGTGGCTTCCCTTGGAAAAGTCACCATCCCAGCAGAGCTGAAGTCAGCTGTCGCGACAGTTGTCGTCAACACCACATCCTGCAGCGTCACCTGCGGGCTGGGCTTCAGGCTGGAGGAGATGTGCGAGGTCACTCCGGCCGGAGAGCGGAGGAACTGCACCGTGCGCAGGTCCGACTGCCTCACCAGCTGGGTTTGTGGCCTGCTCCACGTCACCGTCCCTGTGGGCAAACCCTTCCAGTTCAGCTGCCTGACCTTGGACGTGGTGGGCTTCGGGAGCGGAGCGTATGGCTACACGTGGAGGATTGCCCGAGGCCTTATCACCACAAATGATGTGCTCTTCAGACCTTTCAAAAACCCTGACCCTGTCGTCAGATTTTCCACGACCAGGGAGTCTGATGCAGGGACTTACCGATGCGATGTGCAAGTGTTGAAGACGTTCAGAGTCATCAAGAGAGTCTACTTTGGGGTCAGAGTGATCCAAAATGACTTAGTGGACCTGAACTTTCAAAAATCCTTGACTTGGGAACAGAAGTTAGCAGCAAAGAAGGAGGAAGGAAACGTAGAAAATGGCACCCATGAAGAAGGGCAAGAACAGCAGCCCTTTTGGCAAGGAGAATTGTTCTATGCATGCGTGTTAGGAGTTGGAAGTGGAGTGACAGCAGGTGTCTTGGTGAGCATGGCTCTCTACTTCTTGCTGAAGATTTTGAGAAGAACTGCAGAGAAATGAACTGAGATTTAATGCAATTGCTTGTCTCTGTTTCTTTATTAGTATTGATGCAGTATTTCATGGCAATGTTTGTAATTTTTTTATTTTTTTTTCTGGCTGACACAGTTTATTACCAAATATTTTCTTAAGCTTTCAATTCTGGTGAGGTTAGTACAGGACTGTAGCACCAGAGCTTGAGTCTTAACAGAGTAGTGCAGACAGTCGCTCTGGATGGGGCAAGTTTGCCTCCACATTGTGTGAAAGGATGGTCTCGAGTGGTCCACGCAGGAGTTAGAGGGCACTGAGCCACAGATGCCCACTGCTCACTGCTAACTACCCTGCTGTGCTCCTCTAATGAGTCTTTATTTTATTTTTAGATATTGGTATTTTTTTTATTTATTTAGCTAATAACTTGTGATCTTTATTCCTGTCTTATTTGCTCTAATTTCTTCTGCCTTGCCAAGAACTCTGTGGTGACGTGAGTTGACACAGATCACCGTTTGGTAGATGTATTTCCCCAGCAAGAGGTGCAAAGGAGTCAAGGACACTTGGAAGCTGGGCTTACGAACCAGATTTCCTGGCGGGCTGCTGTCCTTTCCATCGGATCCAAGTGATCTGGTCTCAGCAGCTGTGGGGATGAGGGGTGGACCACCACTGCCTGCTTCCTCTGGAGAGTTATCTCCCTCTGCTAGAGCCCAGAAAACTGTAAAGCATCTTCAAGTGACAGCTTGGAGCTCGCCCTGTTCGCTTTGTAGTGTGGAGCAGCGAAGCAGGGAGCATTGGGGAGCACAAGCGAATCTCCAATTTGAGCCTTGCTGCTTGGGAACAGAACTGGGTGGTTTTAATCATGACTCAGAGCTGAGCCCATCCCTAAAATCTTTAAAGGGGGAGGAAGGGAAGAGTTCTGTGGGCTTGTGGATCTTTCATTTTTCCTGGTGATTAATAAGTATAAAACATGCAGCAACTCTGTGGGGAGGATTATTTCCCCCTTGGTAGCAGAATCCGCAGAGGGACCTATTAAGTGCCTTCTCTTTCTACTTTTGGTCTTATTTTACAGTAAACAACTGTATTTACTAAGTCTGTTTCCTTTTCTTTTATTTTTTCTGTGAACTAAAGTACAGGAATGCATAGCACACCCAATTCTGGGGAAAATAATGATACGACTAACATTAAAGATTGAAGCATACTATTATTTTTTTCTTTTTTACCAGGACAACAACATGCTTTAATATAGAAAGAGTTGAGTAGGGAGGTAAATACCTTATTCTCAGAGAATCCTATACAAAAAAAAAAACAGACTGAAACGTAGTGAGGCAAATCTTCATGTTCAGTGAAGCAGGTGATATCAGGACAGCAGTCTGTGGGCCCTGGGGTTGTCTGGTTGTGTTTGAGTGGAGAAGCAAGCCTGTCCCTGTTTGTAGTTCTACTGAGTTCCCTGTTTCTGCAGGGAGACTTTGATGGGCACAATAACCAGCAGAAGTTGGGAAACATTGTGAGGAACCATTCTGCAGTGACAGAAGATGTTTTTGGGAAGATGCACTGTCCCTTCCTGGTGCCTGGGCTGACCCTCTGGGAAGGGACAGGAGAGTGGCCACACAGTTGTGACAGACAGCAAGGGACTGTATGGCCTTCTTCCATCTGGTGACCTGGTCCCGTGGGTCAAAAGCTCCTGGATGGTGATTCAGTTGTCCAAGATTTTCTTGCTTCTGTTCTTCATCAGTTTCTCCTGACTCAGCTCCACAATACCGAAGTTTCTCCTGTGCTCAGTTGTGGCTCTCTCTTCCCTCATCTGTTCCCTCTGGCTCTGCGATGCTTTTCTCTGTTTCTGTTCCTTAGCTAGCAGCATGCACTGCTTTCTCTGAGCTTTATTCCAGTATTTCCCAGTCTTTAGCTCGCTGAGGGCATCCTCATCCATGGTCAGCCTGCTTCGTTCTTCTGCGATTCTCAAGGCCCTGTCCTTCAGCAGCCAGTTCTTTTGCTGCTTCTTCAAGGACCGCATGCTCCTTTGGCGTGCCAGCCTCCATCTGTTCCCGTTATCTCCTGTTCTGCCCTCTGGGCTTCCATTGCATCGCCGTGGTTTTGCTGATGCTCTGGCCGGGTCACTGGTGCTCAGCAGCAGCCTTTTCCAGCAGCAAGCTTATGTAGCTCCTGTAACGACGTGCATGGTGAGGGATCATCAGCTCTTCTGAGCCAGTGGCGATGTGCGGTGGTGGGCACACGTCCGTGGCCGGTGCTGGTGGTTTTTTCTCACTGGCTTTGTTTCCGTGCAGGCAGAGTTCACCCCTGTGCTGCAGCCCTTTCTCTCTCGGGGTGCTATCTTCATCAACCTGGAGGCCCTTAGGGAGCCACTGGTCCCATTTTGCATTGCTGGCAGCCCCCCTCCGGCTCTCCTGACCCGTGAGCTGTTTCTTGTTCCCTGGAAATGGGTCTGTACTGCCTGCATCTGCTTTCCAGGAGTTCTGGAAATCTTCTGCACTCCTCTGTGCTTCCGCCGCAGAAACTGGAATCGCGTAACCTCATCCCAGTGCGTGCAAAGAGCAGCCATCGTTTTTACTACATGTAAACAAAAATACAAGTAGCTAATGAAAACTGAGACGGGCACTTTCCACACACCTGGTTTACGGAGCTCTTTTTGCCTCCTGAATGTGAAGAAATGGGCAATTGAACTTTGTAAATGAGAGACACCCATCGCAGGAGGGAGGAAGCTGTGGGCTGCTGCCTGCTCTCCTGGCCGTTTTGCTGCGTGGGGTGAGACCTCCTCGGGTCACGTTTGGGACAGGCTGCGGGATCCCCTCTGTGCTGAAGAACTCAAAGGACATATGCTTGGTTTGGGAGCTAATGGCTAAAATCAACAAAGAGGAGCTGTCCCATCTGGAAGAGCCTCTCTGCACTTTGTAATGTAAATGCATCCTGTGGGCAGCTGGGGTTTAGAAATGCAGAAAGATTACATGAAAGGTCCTGGACAATCCATTTTCTCACTGCTCAGCTGAGGAGGGCAGAGTGGGAGCCAAAAGGGTCCTTCATCTTTTTATTGTGCCCTCCTTTTTTTTTTTTTTTTTTTCCAAGGGGAGCCAGATCCCTGGAGCAAGACAGATTAATAATTTTTTTTAATGCTTATTTTAAGATGGAGAGCTGTGATGGACAGTGTGACTCCAGTTATCAGAAAGGATGGGACTGAGCCTCTTACTGGCACAGATGCTGTTTGAAATGGCACTTTTCCTTAGATGCTTTTTGAGTTTTACAGCAAACTAAAGCATGTTGGCTGATGTTTACATTAGTGGGTCTGCTGGGGGATGCAGAGGAAGGAAGGGGGAGCAGCCTGAGCTGAGGGAAAGAAGGGTCACAAAAAGGGAACAAGGGAGGTCGGAGGTTCAGGGAGGTCAGTGAAAGCCGCTGAAACAAGGACCTTCCAGCATACTCTCCACATCCCTGTTTCTTTGTCTCTTCCCGTAATACACGTTTTCTTAGTCACTGTCTCTGTTCTTCGCAACGTAACTGGCTGAACTGCAGAAAAAAAAAATGTCTCTTTCTGCTCTGAATTGGTAATATGGTGCCTAAACTTCTTTTTCCCACTCATGGCCAGTTTGTCTGCCTCACCTGGAGGAGAGGATGGCAGGAGTGCCTGCAAACCCTGCCTGCTACCAGTTCCCAGCTGGAGGGTTTATTTGTGGTGCAAACTTCTGCTGCCTGCTCAGGGCCCTAAGTATGAGGAAGCAATTAGTATTGTACGTACTGAATCGAGACAGATTGTGTGAGGGAGGAAGTCAATTTGCTAATGGCATTAGCACTTGGAAAGAAGGAGGTAATAACAAAATGGTGAGGCATAGGCAGCTGTTTATATTGCTGTTAGTTACTGAAGCTTATCTAAATTGAATAACTAGATTGCCTTACCTGCTGGAACTTGAATGACAGCAAAGAGGAAAACAAACCCCATATGCTGCTTTTGCACCGAGGTGGGGCTGTCTGACTCCTCCATCCTCTGCACGTTAATCTGTGTTAATTCTTTCGCTTGTTCCTGCAGCAGTTCAGATCTGCTGGGCTGTACAGAGCAGTGCAGCTCCCGGGCTGTTGTGTTCTTGTTCCCCCCTTTCCCACTCGCTGCTGCTTTTCCTCTCCCTTTGGCTCATTCATTCGGTATCTGGTTTACTGCAGACATTCCCTAAGCCTCCCGCAGGGTAAAGGAAATAACTAGAAATACAGAATTTTCTTGAATGACCTTTGGTTTTGTAAAACATCTTTCCTAGTCAGGTGTTCCAGAGCGTTTTACAAAACGGCAGAGGATCTGGTCCTGTGGAAGCAGCAGCAGTGCAGCCCCTGGTTGCCTCCCAAAGAGGTTTTTGGGAGGTAAAGAGTGAAATACTTTGCTCATGGCTAGAAATGCACGTGAATGCACAACTACTGGCTGCATAACCTCCCTTCCCAAGGACAGCGTCGGATCTCTCCTGCACTGTGCTAGAACAACTTTGCCAATGAACATTTTCCAAGTCCATGGAATGATCCTTTTAAAAACTAGGGAAATTTGAGTCTGCTCTCCCCTTTCCTTTTGCTGGCTGTCTCCCAGCACAGGTACGTTGAGCAGCTATTGATGTGTTGCCTGTGTTCTTCCCTGCGTTTTTCCCAGGAAACAGCAGCTTTTTGGCAGTCATTACTGCCACAGAATACTGCATAAACGTGTTCATTTGTTGCCTCTCTCTGGAGATGCCAGACCTGTGGAACTCGTGTACAAAGCAGCATATTTTGCTAAAGCGTGCTGAGTGCTGTGGGGTTAGTTTGTGCATCATCTTGGGCTGAGTATAGAAAAGCAAATTCACTATTGCAGCACTAATAGTCCTGCTGATCACCTCAGCAGGACTGCTTTAGTGATCTCTAAATTAGTGTATGCTGAGTCAAATGTAGACCATAATAAGGTGGGTTTTTTATGCTTAGTTCTCGTGATAGTTAATTTGATGCCATGATTTAATTTCATCAGAACCTTTAGACCAGAATTTCTTAGCAGCATGTAAAATAACTCCATCTTTGCT